ATTGTATTTATTGCACAAGTGGAAAGTATTAATTATTTTTACCAAATTGTAGATATAAATCTCGGATATTGGAATTAAACTGTCAATTGAAACTCAAAAGTTGAAACTTTAAAAGTTCATGTCAATACCAATGCAGCAAAATTCTGCTTGTTTAGTTAGCTGTGAAATAGGCTTCTGAAAGATGCTTCATTTTGATATGAAAGATGGGAACATTAGCACCATCAGGAGCAGCCACTAATTTGAGCAAATAATTGTTGAAACTTAGAAAAATAGAAAGTCAGGGTAAGTTTGAAATGGGGCATGTCATTCTTCACAGGACACAAAGGACATACCTAATACTAACAGCACAAATTAAGAGGTGAGGTGTGGTGAAATGGGGGTTAATGTCGCGTCCAAGAATATTGCACATGTGTGTTTGTGGCTGCTTGTACTAGTCCGGACTGATGCCGATTTATAGTGCTAGCACACAGAGATACTATGCTGCAGTTTAACATGAATACCCCACTCAGAGACAGTATACTGACTCTGAGTCGACCAGTCCTTGTTTTATCTCCTGAATGCCGAGCGCCAGACAGGGTAACAACAAGTACCATCTTTTAACGTCTTTTGGTATGACGCAGCCGGGGAACGAAACACCTGACCTTCCACTCTCCGGGCGGAGGTTCTACCAATAGGCCACGGAGGCGGTCAAACAAATTAAGAACATGCAGGCTTTGGAAAAAACAAACATTTTTTTAGAAAACTACCTTGATAAATGTAAAAGAAGAAAGCACAAAGTGCATTCACTTAATAAAGACACAGTGATCACCAACTAGGACTAGGACCTCACAATACATCACCAACCCCACAAAATTAATGTTAATGTACTAGATGTGCAACTATTTATGATCAAAAGGATTAAAACATTACATTGCAAAATTATGAAATCGACAGAAATGAATTACTTGATAAGCTAAATAATGACTATGATCATTTTAAGAACATTCCGAATGAAGAAAATTCCTCTTCATGATATCAATTAATGTTCCCGACTCCACCATTAATATCTGTTCCCATTTATTCCATTCTGCATGATATAATACATACCACTACAACATTGGTCATGTCACATAAGTACCGGTACAGCAATTTTCAAAATTAGTTCTTTTTATTCTTGTTTGTGATTGTTTTGCCTTTGGTCATAGAAAACATTACATTATACACACGCAGCTAGGACATAAGGTTAGTCAGTTAAATTATGATTTATGTAGACTAGGAATTAAAGACAAACAGGGTATTTATGTGGTAGTTGATGTGAAAATGCATATAACTGTTTCTTTGAATGTGACTTGTTTTATGAAGAAAGAGACATTTTAATTTGAAACATTAACAGTATAGCCGAAAATACAACTGATCTCAATTTGATACTCAATGGAAATGGGGATATACAAGATAACATAAATATTTCAATTATGTACAGAGTTATACATGTATATGTAATACAAAGAGATTTATGTAAACTATATTTTTCTCACTGTTCACTTATCTTTCCTATTCTTTTCTTTCCTTCTGCTCCATTCATGTTTAGTACAAATTGTAAATCAATATCTGGGAGAAGATGTCCCAAGTTGGAGACCTTGTACCCAATCCCATTCACTTTTTGTGAATAAAACATGTTTAAATCAATGAAGCAACTTTTGCAACCTGCCTAAACTATGGGGTGCTGTTTGCAATAAATATCTCATATAATCAACTCTATTTCTGAATGGTAAGGCAATCATTGCTGAGCATGCTGAGATTGTCAGGTAGAGACCTAAAGCACATGGTAGGCAGTAATTGGGTTTGCTACGGTAGCCACCCACCACCCAGTCCTTCACTGCTGGTTCTTTGTCTTCCCTGTGTTTACCTGTGAGGGTATTACTGCATGCACAGCCTGCCCCAGTGACAGGACAGCTGATAAAATGCTTACAAGCACCTATTGAGCTGTCACATCAAAGGAGCACAGTGATAAATTTGTCTCCAAGGCCCTTACAAAGTGTTGACTTACTGGTCTAGGGTGTGTGTTGATGGTGGGGACAGTGAGGTGTGTGTTGATGTTGGGGACAGTGAGGTGTGTGTTGATGGTGATGGTGGGGACAGTGAGGTGTGTGTTGATGGTGATGGTGGGGACAGTGAGGTGTGTGTTGATGGTGGGGACAGTGAGGTGTGTGTTGATGGTGATGGTGGGGACAGTGAGATGTGTGTTGATGGTGGGGACAGTGAGGTGTGTGTTGATGGTGGGGACAGTGAGGTGTGTGTTGATGTTGGGGACAGTGAGGTGTGTGTTGATGGTGGGGACAGTGAGGTGTGTGTTGATGGTGGGGACAGTGAGGTGTGTGTTGATGGTGATGGTGGGGACAGTGAGGTGTGTGTTGATGGTGGGGACAGTGAGGTGTGTGTTGATGGTGATGGTGGGGACAGTGAGGTGTGTGTTGATGGTGGGGACAGTGAGGTGTGTGTTGATGGTGGGGACAGTGAGGTGTGTGTTGATGGTGGAGACAGTGAGGTGTGTGTTGATGGTGGGGACAGTGAGGTGTGTGTTGATGGTGGGGACAGTGAGGTGTGTGTTGATGGTGGGGACAGTGAGGTGTGTGTTGATTGTGGGGACAGTGAGGTGTGTGTTGATGGTGGGGACAGTGAGGTGTGTGTTGATGGTGGGGACAGTGAGGTGTGTTTTGATGGTGGGGACAGTGAGGTTTGTGTATGATGGTGGGGACAGTGAGGTGTGTGTTGATGGTGATGGTGGGGACAGTGAGGTGTGTGTTGATGGTGGGGACAGTGAGGTGTGTGTTGATGGTGGGGACAGTGAGGTGTGTGTTGATGGTGATGGTGGGGACAGTGAGGTGTGTGTTGATGGTGGGGACAGTGAGGTGTGTGTTGATGATCGGGACAGTGAGGTGTGTGTTGATGGTGGGGACAGTGAGGTGTGTGTTGATGGTGGGGACATTGAGGTGTGTGTTGATGGTGGGGACAGTGAGGTGTGTGTTGATGGTGATGGTGGGGATAGTGAGGTGTGTGTTGATGGTGATGGTGGGGACATTGAGGTGTGTGTTGATGGTGATGGTGGGGATAGTGAGGTGTGTGTTGATGGTGATGGTGGGGACAGTGAGGTGTGTGTTGATGTTGATGGTGGGGACAGTGATGTGTGTGTTGATGGTGGGGACAGTGAGGTGTGTGTTGATGGTGGGGACAGTGAGGTGTGTGTTGATGTTGATGGTGGGGACAGTGATGTGTGTGTTGATGGTGGGGACAGTGAGGTGTGTGTTGATGGTGGGGACAGTGAGGTGTGTGTTGATGGTGATGGTGGGGACAGTGAGGTTTGTGTATGATGGTGGGGACAGTGAGGTGCGTGTTGATGTTGATGGTGGGGACAGTGAGGTGTGTGTTGATGGTGGGGACAGTGAGGTGTGTGTTGATGGTGATGGTGGGGATAGTGAGGTGTGTGTTGATGGTGGGGACAGTGAGGTGTGTGTTGATGGTGGGGACAGTGGGGTGTGTGTTGATGGTGATGGTGGGGACAGTGAGGTGTGTGTTGATGGTGGGGACAGTGAGGTGTGTGTTGATGGTGGGGACAGTGAGGTGTGTGTTGATGGTGATGGTGGGGACAGTGAGGTGTGTGTTGATGGTGGGGACAGTGAGGTGTGTGTTGATGGTGGGTACAGTGGGGTGTGTGTTGATGGTGATGGTGGGGACAGTGAGGTGTGTGTTGATGGTGGGGACAGTGAAGTGTGTGTTGATGGTGGGGACAGTGAGGTGTGTGTTCATGGTGGGGATAGTGAGGTTTGTGTATGATGGTGGGGACAGTGAGGTGTGTGTTGATGGTGGGGACAGTGAGGTGTGTGTTGATGGTGGGGACAGTGAGGTGTGTGTTGATGGTGGGGATAGTGAGGTTTGTGTATGATGGTGGGGACAGTGAGGTGTGTGTTGATGGGGGGACAGTGAGGTGTGTGTTGATGGTGGGGACAGTGAGGTGTGTGTTGATGGTGGGGACAGTGAGGTGTGTGTTGATGGTGGAGACAGTGAGGTGTGTGTTGATGGTGGGGACAGTGAGGTGTGTGTTGATGGTGATGGTGGGGACAGTGAGGTTTGTGTTGATGGTGATGGTGGGGACAGTGAGGTGTGTGTTGATGGTGGGGACACTGCATGGTGCTTACAAACAAAGCAAATCCTGGCATGGTAAAGGGAGGTAATTCTGTAGCTCAAATTGATCACCTTAGACCACTTGAATATCTGTACCAAGGAACAATGTTTATTATCTATGAGGGCAAACATATGTGCCCTTGGGTCATATCACGTCACAAGACAACAGTGTATTGTTTCCGTCATCCAGACAGTATTGACATCATTCAACAAATTGTGGTTCAGCTTAACTTTGTATGTAGACATCTTCTTCAGCAATAAATAGAACATTATAACAGTGTTCATGTCATACTATGTTTACGACACTCGTACTCTCGCTCAGGAAATACTGGAATATAGACATTCATGTCGTAAATATAGTATGACACTCATGTAACATCCTGTATTTATAAAGTCTTTGAAAACTGGCCAGTGATGTAGATACTGAAGGTCAAGTGATTGCATGGCACTGCCTGCTTGTCTGAAAACCATGAAACCAATGAACCAATGAAGCTGACACTTAAAATGCTTCATCCCATCATTGTTCAGGAGGTTCAAATTCGATTTTCAATATGGCTGCCGGGGAAGCCATTTTGAAAAAGCTGTTTATGGCCATTACTGGGTCATTTCTGTTCAAAATATGACGAAATTTGCTACAAGTCTAGTAAGTAGTAAGCCTTAACATATATATGTTTCATTTTTTGGCAACATTTTACATTTTAATCTTGATTTGATCTTGCACTTTGTCGATACTGAAAGCTGTCCATTACGTACACAGCCATTTTTGTTCAATGAAATATTGTATATGTGTAGTTAGAGGGGGGCTCATCACACGTTCCGTTTTTGATATTTTAAATTTTTACCTTGATTTGACCTTTGGATGATGCTCCTGAGTTCTCTAAAATGTGCCCTAGGCTCTGCAACCAACTGTAAGAAGTTGAAACTTCACACGCTTGTTCCCACTAGTGAAGACACCTGAATTTGTTCAAGAGGTTTATGTAAGATTTTCAATATGGCTGCCACAACAGCTATATTGAGAACAATTAATGGCCACTGCTCAACCATTCCTGATCAAAATATATGCAATGCTTTTAAATTTCTTTCAAAATGCCTTGTGGCCTTGTAAACATCTTCTCCGCTGAAATTGTCAGACTGAGGAAGACGAAATTTGTCGTCTATATTTCTCCTTATAATGACATCAATTTTGTTAAGATCATTAGGATTTTAGTCTGCTTTTCTGTGAATCAATATAAAGAATTGCATGGCATTAGAAAACAATTAAAGGAAGAGAAGGCATGTTAGGCTCAGAAGTGGACTTTGTGCAAAGTAAATTCAACTGTTTTACTATTTTACATTGCAACAATGCTATACAATAGTACAGTCATTCATGCAGATTTAGAAACACTTGGGAATTGTTGTTTCTTTTATATATGTTAATGCATTCATTTTTAGTATTTATGCAGAAAAAATTTGAATAGCAACAATGAAAGCAACTTTTATTAAACTTTTATGCTGTCATTTTTCACATCTTAAACTGTGACTATATGTACAGGTGAGCTACAGTAATGTGGCATAATGTTTTAATTTCCATTAAAAAAAAATCATAAAATGTGAATATTTTCACGTTAAACAATGTATATTGTGTATGTGGTAGCTACACTTTATGTTTGTGAGTATGTTTCTCAGCTGTTGTGCCTGACAGTCATTGAAGTGAAACCTGTTGACATCACCTGTGTCTATTTAAAGAGTAATGTCATGAATAAAATTGTGTAAAAACATTTTACGTTTTTCCACCTCAAATCCCTTTGGTTATTCAGCTGTTGCCAATTTCTGGATGACGAGGATGCTAATCCTCAGTTGACATTGATAGACATAAAATTTATTCTAAATACAAACTTTCCCATCTTTTCCATATAGTGGACCATTAATAACTTACCAAGTTAGACATTTATTGCCAAATCTGATATTACATCTTATCATCCAAAACTGGCTCCCACAGGAGATATCAAGTGATATCTACACTGTAGATATCGCTGCAATGAAATTGCATCACAATGCTTTGCAGACCATTGTGACATCATTGGTTACCAGACGTCACAATCAAATGACATCACTAATGGCTCTGCTACTAAGCTGTTAGCAGAACATTTTACACTTGAGACACTGCTCATTACTGTCTACAAACTGAAAAAGTTGGAAGAATGATGTTGGATGATAAATAAAATCCCACCCTCATGTCTTTTGATATCAAATATATCAACACTTGTTGATAAAAGTGGAAATAATCCTCGGCAAGCCTCAGAGTTTTTCCACTTTTATCAAGTTGTGTTGATATACTTGATATCAAAAGACATGAGGAGCCTCAGAGTTTTTCCACTTTTATCAACTTGTGTTGATATACTTGATATCAAAAGACATGAGGAGCCTCAGAGTTTTTCCACTTTTATCAACTTGTGTTGCTATATTTGATATCAAAAGACATGAGGAGCCTAAGAGTTTTTCCACTTTTATCAACTTGTGTTGCTATACTTGATATCAAAAGACATGAGGAGCCTCAGAGTTTTTCCACTTTTATCAACTTGTGTTGCTATACTTGATATCAAAAGACATGAGGAGCCTCAGAGTTTTTCCACTTTTATCAACTTGTGATGCTATACTTGATATCAAAAGACATGAGGAGCCTCAGAGTTTTTCCACTTTTATCAACTTGTGTTGATATACTTGATATCATAAGACATGAGGGTGAGATTCTCTATTTAAATATTTAATCATATTTAAAAAGTATTGATGAGAAATTTGTCAATGGGTCTTTTCATTTGAAGAAAAACCTCCAGTTTAACTCAGCAATATTGTGCAACAGAGCATACATTGTGTCCAACTGTTACTTACTGTTCAACCACTCCACGGAGAAACATCAGACTGCATTCCATCAATATGATGTACTTGTGACACCATGGAAGAATGGAAATCTGTCAAAAACAAAGTTATTTCCTAAAACAATGTCCCTTGAACCAGAGATTCAAGTTAGTTCAATAACCAACTCTAATTTGAACATGATCAATCAACTCACCAATACTTTGTTGGTTTTTTCATAGTCAAACAGCTGAAAAAAGAAATGAGAATTCTTTCCAGATTAAATTTTGTACATTTTTTCCCGAGATGAAAGATCAATCATGTTTGAATTAGGAGAATTATGTTAGTTTTTGCAACAGAAAACATAATTTTCTCTTATCAAGGCATAAGAATGAGCGAGTGACAATGTCTGTTTTATTACATTTTATGGAATATTTCTACAATGATGGATGCTTAGAATATTAGAATATTAGGTATTGTTGATTATAACACAATGTCCATAACACTCTATGAATAGATCTAACTTGTGTAGTATTGTTGATCATAAAACAATGTCAATAACACCATATGAATAGATCTAACTTGTGTAGTATTGTTGATTATAACACAGTGTCAATAACACTATATGGATAGATCCAAACTTGTGTAACATTGTTGAATATAACACAATGTCTATAACACTATATGAAAGATCCAACTTGTGTAGTATTGTTGATTATAACACAATGTCTATACCACTATGAATAAATCCAACAAGAGTAGTATTGTTAATTATAACACAATGTCCATAACACTTTGTGAATATATCCATCAAGGGTAGTTTTGTTTATTATAACACAATGTCCATAACACTATATGAATAGATCCAACTTGTGTCATATTGTTGATTATAACACAATGTCCATAACACTGTATGAATAGATTCAATAAGGGTAGTATTTTTGCTTATAACACAATGTCCATAACACTATGTGAATAGTTAGGTGTAACTGATTTATCACAGATGGCAACAGGCTCACTTACAAATAAAGTGTAACTGATTTATCAACACATGGCAACAGGCTCACTTACAAATAAAGTGTAACTGATTTATCACACATGGCAACAGGCTCACTTACAAGTTAAATGTAACTGATTTATCACACATGGCAACAGGCTCGATTACAAGTTAAATGTAACTGATTTATCACACATGGCAACAGGCTCGATTACAAGTAAAGTGTAACTGATTTATCACACATGGCAACAGGCTCTTTTACAAGTTAAGTGTAACTGATTTATCAACACATGGCAACAGGCTCACTTACAAGTTAAGTGTAACTGATTTATCAACACATGGCAACAGGCTCACTTACAAGTTAAGTGTAACTGATTTATCAACACATGGCAACAGGCTCTCTTACAAGTTAAGTGCAACTGATTTATCACACATAAGTATAGTATTGCTAATCTTTCAAGAGACAGCATGACTGCATGTGAATATCAACAAGTTTTGCATGTATACCCTGGTATGTCTACAATCCTGACTATCAACATACCAAACAGTGTCGGATTAGCTTACATTAAAGCAAGATCCACAACACACAAGTCTGATGTGAAACATCTCACAGTAGAGTCAACTACGGTTATAACAAACTCAAAGGGACCACTAATTTTCGTTCGTTCTAACCATAGTTCGCTATAAGCCTATATACAGCATATGTACAACAAATGGCCGGGACTAAAATATAAGTTTGTTATATCGGTCAGTTGGTTATGAGCGTGTTCATTATAACCGTAGTTTACTGTACATATTTTGTTATGATTCTTGTTTGCTTGTTGTTTTATGCCATAGTCAGCAATATTCCAACTTTATATCTTGGTTGCAAACCAGTGGTTGATAACATGATCAATGATAATACACAATCAACCAAGTCAAAGAATCTTACCATCCAATACCCATTTAGTACACTCTTAGAAGCATGGTGATCTCGGTGCCTGTTTTGAACTGGTATCAGATGCAGGTCATATGATCAATACATTATGTTTCGCCCCTTTTAGACTCAATTTTTGCAAAAGAACAAATAAATACTTGAGTTTTACCAGGAGTGAGTGAGTGAGTGAGTGAGTGCATGAGTGAGTGAGTGAGTGAGTGAGTGAGCGCAAGCGTGAGTGAGTGAGTGAGTGAGTGAGTGAGTGAGTATGGTTTTACGTTGCTTTTAGCAATATTCTAGCAATATCACGGCGGGGGACACCAGAAATTGGCTTCACACATTGTACCCATATCGGGAATCGACCCATGTCATGACCAGCGAACGCTTTAACCACTAGGCTACCCAACCGCCCCAGTTTTACCAGGAACTGACACTGGTTCACACAAAGCTAGCTACACTTTTCAGATACCTGTCTTCAGTTGAGTTTCTCTTTGTAGCCCATGAGATAACAGATATAATGTATCTCAGTTTAGACATGCAATATCACTACACATTTCTGTATGGTGGTGTACAGTTTTAATTTTAATTTTTTTAATTTTTTTAATTTTTAAGGCAATAATTTTTAGTATAAATCAAGATATATATTTCAAAATTATGTAAATAATAAGAACAAGTTGTCCCTATAAGAGACTGGAGTGAACTGTCCACATATCTAGACTTGTCTGTGAGGAGGATAAGATTACTAAACATCCATGGACTTATCTTTCCGCACAGCCTTGGAGCAAGGCTAGTGTACGGTGTCATGGGGTAGAGGAACCTGGTTACATTGTATGGGAAGCGTTTTGAAGCATCTGCTAAAACACACGTTTATAATTAGCCTTAATGGAAAGATCATACAAATGTTTTGAGTATGTTGTAATTGTAAAAGCAATATTTACAAAACAAAACCTAAACATTCAAGACACAGCACTTTGAAGCAATGAGAAAAAAGTATGTTGTTATCAACTTGTGGACATTTCCTCCTTCTGGGCCTGGAGAGAGCTTTGAGTGATCTGTAGAAGCTAGTAGGTGCGGACATCGATGTGAAATTTGTGACAGGACTGTTTGAATCTTATCAGCCCATCAGCTACAACTGTGTGAAGAAAACACTCCAATATAAACATTATCAAAAGAGTGTAAATTACCATGAAATTACTTATGTCAAACTTCAAAGGCCAGAGTCTGACATAAACTGTGCCAATCACGGTGATAGGGATCTAAAATGCCAGGCTTCGGTGATTGATGGGATTTTAGTAGCTCAGAGAAGGAAAAATCTCCACACAGCAGCTTTTACTTTTATGATCATTGAGATTAGGACAATTACAGTTAATCTCCCTTATTTACTCTGTTTATCTTTCGTTCCATGTCATTTTACATCAAAAACGCTACCCTGGCTCATGTTAAACATAATTACACAATTCAAAGCAATTGCATAAAGAACTAATTTATTATAGCGTTTTGAAAATGTCAGGTAAATTAGGAAGTGTATTTTCCATACTTCTTTTTTATATCTGTGGCTGGGTGCTGCCACTGATCCAAGCTCTAGCTGTGAATGATTGCAATGAAAGTGATCAACACACTGATCACGATTGGCCATATATCACTGCTGGAAGCAGCAGCTGTAGCTCACCTGGTCACTGTTCTCAACGCCCAAACAACAACTGATTTTGTCCATTTCACTTGGGTACTTTACACATTATGCCCACATATCACTGTATCAATTTGCTGTAGCCCACTTGAACACTTACTACACTCTACATACTATAGCCTACTTATCACTGTAGCAAGGAGCTGTAGCTCACCTGAATACTTCCTTCACTCTACATACTATAGCCTACTTATCACTGTAGCAAGGAGCTGTAACTTACCTGAATACTTCCTTCACTCTACATACAATAGCCTACTTATCACTGTAGCAAGGAGCTGTAGCTCACCTGAATACTTCCTTCACTCTACATACAATAGCCTACTTATCACTGTATCAAGTTGCTGTAGCTTACCTGAATACTTCCTTCACTCTACATACAATAGCCTACTTATCACTGTATCAAGTTGCTGTAGCTCACCTGAATACTTCCTTCACTCTACATACTATAGCCTACATATCACTGTAGCAAGGAGCTGTAGCTCACCTGAATACTTCCTTCACTCTACATACTATAGCCTACTTATCACTGTATCAAGTTGCTGTAGCTCACCTGAATACTTCCTTCACTCTACATACTATAGCCTACTTATCACTGTAGCAAGGAGCTGTAGCTCACCTGAATACTTCCTTCACTCTACATACTATAGCCTACTTATCACTGTAGCAAGGAGCTGTAGCTCACCTGAATACTTCCTTCACTCTACATACTATAGCCTACTTATCACTGTAGCAAGGAGCTGTAGCTCACCTGAATACTTCCTTCACTCTACATACAATAGCCTACTTATCACTGTAGCAAGGAGCTGTAGCTCACCTGAATACTTCCTTCACTCTACATACAATAGCCTACTTATCACTGTATCAAGTTGCTGTAGCTTACCTGAATACTTCCTTCACTCTACATACTATAGCCTACTTATCACTGTAGCAAGGAGCTGTAACTTACCTGAATACTTCCTTCACTCTACATACTATAGCCTACTTATCACTGTAGCAAGTTGCTGTAGCTCACCTGAATACTTCCTTCACTCTACATACTATAGCCTACTTATCACTGTAGCAAGGAGCTGTAGCTCACCTGAATACTTCCTTCACTCTACATACTATAGCCTACTTATCACTGTAGCAAGTTGCTGTAGCTCACCTGAATACTTCCTTCACTCTACATACTATAGCCTACTTATCACTGTAGCAAGGAGCTGTAGCTCACCTGAATACTTCCTTCACTCTACATACTATAGCCTACTTATCACTGTAGCAAGGAGCTGTAGCTCACCTGAATACTTCCTTCACTCTACATACTATAGCCTACTTATCACTGTAGCAAGGAGCTGTAGCTCACCTGAATACTTCCTTCACTCTACATACTATAGCCTACTTATCACTGTAGCAAGTTGCTGTAGCTCACCTGAATACTTCCTTCACTCTACATACAATAGCCTACTTATCACTGTAGCAAGGAGCTGTAGCTCACCTGAATACTTCCTTCACTCTACATACAATAGCCTACTTATCA